TAGCGGGTGGACACGGTCAGTACAGGTGAGGGAAGACCCAGCACCTACCTTGGCCACCACCCACCTGGCATCCTTCTGTCCCCACACAGAGACAGGAGTGGGAGCGGTCTGCCCCTGCGGGGTCCATGCCACCCCCATTCCCTGGGGAGCTGGATGGCTCAGACGAGGAGGAGGCTGAGGGGATGTTTGGAGCTGAGCTGCTCTCCCCCAGTGGACAGGCTGACGTGCAGACACTGGCCATCATGCTTCAGGAGCAGCTGGAAGCCATCAACAAGGAGATCAAGTGAGCACTGGCCCAGTTTTTCTCTGCCCTGCCTTAGCTGACCCCCTGATCTGAAGGTCTGAGTGCATCTCCTCTCCCACTATCTTCAAGGAACTCCCCCAGCCCAACAGTCCCTCCAGTAATGAGGATATCCCAGAATACAACCAGAAGTCTTCCTATGTTATGTGCTTCCTATCTATCTGTCTATCATCTTATCTATCTATCTATCTATCTATCTATCTATCTATCTATCATCTTATCTATCTATCTATCTATCTATCTATCATCTTATCTATCTATCTATTTATCTATCTATCTATCTATCTATTCTTTTATCTGTCTATCTATCCATCTATCTATTTATGTATCCATCTATCATTTTTCTATTTATTCCCCGTTCAGTATTCACAATTTCCCAATATACCAAAGACTACATCCCGTAATACCAAAGTCCTCAAGCCACCACACCAAGAGTCCTCCAATACATCATGGAGGTCATGACTTCACACGACTAGGAGTCCCCCAGTATCCTAAGAATCTCAACACAACACAAGGTCTCCAATCCAAAAACATCAAGAATCTCACCCTAATAGTTCAAGACCCTCAACTCAAGATACCAAGAATTTTTACCTAATATAACAAGAATCCTCGATTTATTATAAATCCCCCACTGCCATTAAGTCTATCCTGATTTCCCAGAAATTGTTGTATTTGGCAATTTTCTAACAGCAACTCTTCATGGGTCTCAGCAGATATACCAACATGACCACCACTTTCAATCCAAAGTCATTCATTCTGAGTTCAGGCATCAATTTTTTTTTTTTTTTTTTTTTTTTTTTACAAATAGTTTATTGTCAAATTGGTTTCCTCAGGCATCAATTTACATACCAAATGGCCCCATGAACTTCCAGATCCTAGGTTGACCTTGAGTCCTTGATCTCATTCTGATCATATTATGATCTTGCTCTTTCTTTCCTCCTTGGAATTTGACCTCCTGCTCTGTAATCTTTATGATTTTACAGAACCATGTGATTACCACCATGGTAGACTTGATGCAGACACTAATCATCCTGTTGTCCCTCATGCCTCCATGATCTCCGGGACTATCATGATCCCTTGACTCCCTTTGAACCCATGAGGCCATGATGAATCCACCAAGACCCTCTAACCTCATTGTGCTTTCCCCAGAATTCTTTTTGCCCCACCAAGCCCTCCTGGCCCTTTGGGATCCCCAGACTGTATCCCCCATTGCCTGCCTCTGTCCTCTCATGTAGTCTCCCCCCTTTCCCTCCTCAGGCTCATCCAAGAGGAGAAGGAGACAACAGAACAAAGGGCAGAGGAGTTGGAGAGCCGGGTGTCTGGCTCTGGCCTGGACTCACTAGGCCGCTACCGCAGTAGCTGCTCACTGCCCCCCTCCCTCACTACCTCTACCCTTGCCAGCCCCTCCCCTCCCAGCTCTGGCCACTCAACGCCCCGTCTGGCTCCCCCTAGCCCTGCCCGTGAGGGCACCGACAAGGCTGTGAGTGTTCTGAAATCTCTTCATTTGGTGGGGTGGCCAGGGGGAGGTGGGATACAGGGCTCCCCAACAAACAGCAACAATAGCCCCTCAAAAAGCAACCTTAGCTCTCCCTAAGAGTTCCAACTTAAAGAGCATAAGGGAGGCTGAGCTACTAAGTTTCTGAACCTTAACTTGAACTTTAGTCAAATCTGGCCTGCTTTTACCTGTTTTATGCATTAAGTTTCTGCATAGGTTTTTTTGTTTGTTTAATGTTTCTGTGACTAAACATACATTTGAGAACTACCATTAGATCCTCAGAATTGACCTGTGGGGAGGAATAAGACATATTAGTCCTATTTTATTGCCTTAAACTCAGTTTTTCAGCTTCCAGAATGGCTACCTCATTAGCTTTCCTTGAGTCTGAGCAGATCCCACTCCTGACACCAGAAGCTAGGCTACATAAAGAACACTGGTCAAGCTCCAGTGGGACTCAGTGCCATTTTATTTCTGCAACTCACCCTACTTGATCTAGGCTACCTTTAGAAATGGTGCCTAGAACCAGGGCCATCCCAGACACTCCTTAGTAGACATCCCAACTAATGAAGAGCTCCCAACATGACCCCTCCAATTCATTTCAGCATCTCTGCTCTTCTGTCCCCAGAATCATGTCCCCAAGGAGGAAGCTGGGGCTCCACGAGGTGAGGGACCAGCCATCCCAGGAGACACCCCACCTCCCACTCCCCGCTCTGCCCGCCTTGAGAGAATGACACAGGCCTTGGCACTGCAGGCAGGATCCCTAGAAGATGGGGGCCCTTCACGGGGAAGGTCAGCAGGGGCAAAGGATGGGATAGGGAGGGGCTTGCTTGGGAGGATGTATCGGGGGATGGACAAGGACTTGGGAGTAGAGGAGACATGGAGTCTGCCCTCATTCTGTCCTGCTCACCCAGTGAAGGCACCCCAGATTCCCTGCACAAAGCCCCCAAGAAGAAGAGCATCAAGTCATCCATAGGCCGTCTCTTTGGCAAGAAGGAGAAGGGGCGAATGGGACCACCAGGCCGGGACAGCTCTTCTCTGGGTGAGTACCATGATGCCAACTCTGTTTTCCTTTCTCTCTCCGTCCCTCCCTCCGTCCCTCCCTCCCTTCCTTCCTCTCTCTCTCCCCCTCTCTCCTTCCCTTCCTCCCTTCTTTCCTGCCTTCCTTTGTTCCTCCCTTCCTTCTTCTTTTTCACAAATTGACTTGACGTTCATTTGAGTTTAGGATGTGAAAGGCATAGGACTCTGGAGAGGTAGCAAGAAGGAGGAGGGACAAGGAGAAGGCACTTTGAGGCCTGCCTTTGTGACCTGGTGGGGAAAAGGCTAAACAAATTTATTTCATTTACCTGTTTTTTAAAAAAAATTTAATGTTGGGGTGCCTGGGTGGCTTAGTTGGTTAAGCATCCAACTTTTGCTTAGGTCATGATCTCGCGGTTCGTGGGTTCGAGCCCGTATCGGGCTCTGTGCTGACTGCCTGTTTCAGAGTCTGTGATTCCCTCTCTCTCTGACCCTCCCCTGCTCACGTTGTCTCTCTCTCTCTCTCCTAGAAATAAATAAAACATTACAAAAAAATTTAATGTTTATTTATTTTTGAGAGAGAGAGAGATAGAGTGTGAGTGGGGGTGGGGAGGGGTGTAGAGAGAGATGGAGACACAGAATCTGAAACAGGTTCCAGGCTCCGAGCTATCAGCACAGATAGTGATATGGGACTTGAACCCACGAGCTGTGAGATTATGACCTGGGTTAAAGTCAGACGCTTAACGTACTGAACCACCCAGTCACCTCTCGTTTACCTATTTTTAAAACATTTATTTATTTATTTTGAGAGACAGAGAGAGTGTGCAGGAGCAGGGAGAGGGGCAGAGAGAAGGAAGGAGAGACTCCCAAGCTGGCTCTACACCACCTGCAGGGACCCCAATGTGGGGCTTCATCTCATGAACCATGAGATCATGACCTGAGCTGAAATTAGAGTCACCCACATGCCTCTAACTTACCTTTCTTTCGAGAGAGAGAGAGAGAGAGAGAAAGAGAGAAAGCATACAAGCAGGGGAGGAGGGAAGAGAGAGGGAGAGAATCGCAAGCAGGCTCCACATCGTCAGCAGGGAGCCTGACATGGGGCTGCATCTCACGAACCGTGAGATTATGACCCAGGTGTCTCTCATTCACATTTATCTATCTATCTATCTATCTATCTATCTATCTATCTATCTATGTATGTATTTTGAGACAGAAATAGAGAGAGAAAGCATACAAGCAGGGGAGGGAGAGAAAGAGGAGACAGAGAATCCCAAGCAGGCTCCACACCATCAGTGCAGAGCCTGATGCGGGGCTCAAACTCACGAACCGTGAGGTCATGACCGGAGCCGATATCAAGAGTCAGGCGGTCAGCTGACTGAGCCACCCGGGCGCCCCTGCCTATTTTTTCAGCAGAGGAGAGAGGACCCCGTAAATGCAGGGCGGATGGTGTGCTGGAGCCTGCTTGTACCGGCTTGTGAAAGCCAATTTACAGGTGTTTTGTGAGCTGCTTGACGTTACATTGGTAGCTTGAAATTGGTGGGACTCTTTACACCATGGAAGCGGGAAACACTACAAATCAGGGAACACCCGCTCCCTCTCTGGGGAGCCAGCTGTTAAGCGTTTGCCACCTTACCAAGGCCAGCCGCAGGAAGACACCCCCATTTGGGGGCTCTCTCCAATTCCCTGCCTGGGAGGTGAGATTGGCTCCTGCTTGGCTCTATCGCTCCATCTCTGTGGCCTCATTTACGGCTCCCCTGGGGCCTCTGCTTCCCTGGCATCCTTCTCAGCACCTCCAACATCAGAGAGTCTCCTTCCCACTTGAGACTCTCAAATTCTGGCCCCTCCTTGCCTCCAGCAGGAACACCCTCAGAGGAGACACTGGCCACGGACCCTCTGGGGCTGGCCAAGCTAACAGGCCCAGGAGACAAGGACCGGAGGAACAAGAGGAAGTGAGTGTGTGTGTGTGTGTGTTTGGCGGGGGAGGGAGGGCTGGTGGTCATCTGTGAGATGAAGACGCTGGAAGAGGGTCTGCTTGCCTGAAAACTCGGGACACCCCCCCCCCCGAGTTTTTATTATTTTTTCCCCTCTTCTTTCTTGATTGAGGTGAGGGAGACCACTTCCAGAGATTCGCGGGGGTTTTTTTCTTAAAACCTCCTTCCAAATTTTCTACTCTCATAAAAAGTGCTTTGGATGCTCACTTTGGCAGCACACATACTAACACTGGAACGATGCAGAGATTAATTTGGCCCCTGCGCAAGGATGGCATGCAAATTCACAAAGCGTTCCATGAAAAGACAAAAAAGGGCTTGGGGGTGGGGATTTGTGGTAAAGGGGCCCATCCTGGAGGGCTGGGGGGTTGCCTCTACCCCTGAGAGCTTCTACCCTAAGCCTCTGTCCCCCAGGCACGAACTTCTGGAAGAAGCCTGCCGCCAGGGCCTGCCCTTTGCTGCTTGGGATGGGCCCACCGTGGTCTCCTGGCTGGAGGTATTGGGGCCCAGAAGTGACCTGATCTTGATCCCCAGCTCCTGTGACAGCCTGCCATTGGGTGCCGCCCAGCGCCTCCTGGCATCCTCCCCCTAGCCCAGAGGGGGGTGGGCAGAGGAGGATGAGGCCCGGGAGAGGTCAGCCTTGCTGTTGATCTCAACGGCTTCCTCCTTCTTCTCCCCTCACCCCCTACCCCTTTGGCCATGCCCACCTTGGCCCTGCGCTCCTGTGGTCTCTCTCTCTCTCTCTGTCACCCCATGTCTCTCTCTTACTGTATGGGATTCTGTGTCTGCCCTTTTGTCTCGCTCTCCATCTCTGTTTTTGTCTTTCCCCACATTTCTTCCCATGTCTCGTTGGCTTCTTTCTCTCCCCATCTCTCTCATCTCTGTATGTCTCTCATCTCTGTCTCTCCCTATCCCCCTTTCCCCTGTGACTCTGGTGTTACCCTCCGACTCTCCCCCCTTCCCCCACGCTGTGTCTCCCCCTGCCGCCCCCTTGTCGGTTCGCCTTGCCCCGTCTCTGTTGCTTCTCACCGTTAACTCCCCCACCTCTGGGCCTCCCTCTCTCTCCTTTTCTTTCTGGTTCTCTCCCGCCTCTCCGGTTTCTCCCCCATATTGTCTCTGTCTCTGTGTGGCGTCTCTTCCTTCCCTCTCCGTCTCCCGCCCCCTCCTCCGGCCCAGCTGTGGGTAGGCATGCCCGCATGGTATGTGGCCGCCTGTCGCGCCAACGTCAAAAGCGGAGCCATCATGGCCAACCTGTCGGACACGGAGATCCAGCGGGAGATTGGCATCAGCAACCCCCTGCACAGGCTCAAACTGCGCCTCGCCATCCAGGAAATGGTCTCGCTCACCTCCCCCTCAGCGCCCGCCTCCTCCCGCACGGTGAGTGTCCGGGGGCCAATCCCAGGCCTTGCAGCCTCAGGGCCCCGCCTCTTGTCCGCAGACTAGCCAATCCTGGGCTCGCTCACTCCAGCCCCGGCTCTCAGAGTCTCTCCCCTTGATCTCTCACCTGGATTATCCCTGGGGTCTCGAGGAGGGGAGTGGGGTGGGGGTGGTGTCCCTCCTCAGGGCTCTCTGCCTCTCCTGTACCCCCAAACCTCAGTCTGTCTTATACAGAGGGGATCCCATCCTGGAGAAAAAGCCTAATTCATATGGTTCCTTACAAACCCCTTGATGAGCGCCCCACCCCCCACTCCACTCCTTAGCACCTGCTGCGCCCTTTCCTTGGAGAACCCCGCCCCCAGCCCTGTTTCTCCTTCTCATCCTTGAGGCCTCAGCTCAGATGTCACCACCTCCAAGAGGCCTCCCTGACTCAGCAACTGAGAACTGGTCTCCTGCCCATAACCCCAACTCATTAACACCTAATTGTTCTCTATAGTGTTTAGGGCCTTCTAATATTTTATCCTTTGATCCGTGAAGAGACTAATTCAGCAGTTGTTCGCTCCTTGCCGTACTTGCCCTGAGTGTGTGTGCGTGTGCGCGTGCGTATGTGTGTGTGTTTCTCTGAAGCCCTCGAATGTAATTTGTGGACACCATTACTGGTTAGCCTGAAAAATGACTTCCGCAGGGCATCTTCTAACAATAAGAACATTCGCCTACGCGGCCACCATGCCCTCATGTCCAAGAACATGACCATTATTGTCACTGTCATCTATTCAGTCTATTTTCAAATTTCCCCTCCTGCTTCCCAGACCCAGCAACTGTGCCTGGGCACTCGTGAGCAGCTACATACATGTTTTTGAGTCAATGTATGAATTCCTAACCCGCGGCGTTGTGGGGAGCAGGTACCCAATAAATGTGACTGCGCATCTATGTATCCCTTCCCCCTGCTGTATCTGCCACCTGGTTCTGAATCCGTCTGTGTGAGGTCAGAGAGGTGTGTTGTGCCCAGGACCACCGTGAAATACCAGCAATTTACCCGAATTTGTCCGACCCCGAAGCCTATGTTCTTTTTTTATTTTTAAGTTTATTTATTGATTTTGAGAGAGACACAGAGAGAGAACAAGCGGGTGAGGAGCAGAGAGAGAGGGGGACAGAGGATCCAAAGCAGGCTCTGTGCTGACACCAGAGAGCCTGATGCGCGGCTCGAACGCACAAACCGCGAGATCAGGACCTGAGCCAAAGTCAGATGCTTAACCGACTGAGCCAGGCGCCCCAGTCTATGTTCTTCTGTGTGGTACACAGCAGGTGCTCAATAAGTGATAATTTTGTTTTCTCTTTCACTGCCTGGCCCAGAGCAGTGGCTGGCCTTTCTGAGGCAGAAAGCACAACATATATAAATGGACCTGGGCTGGGGCTGTAGGAACACTACCCCCTTCCCCTCCCCTATGCGCAAGCCCTCTCTCAACCTCCGTAACACCCCTTGCCCCTCAGTCCACAGGAAATGTGTGGATGACACACGAAGAGATGGAGTCCCTTACGGCCACAACCAAGCCTGTGAGTGCCCCCTGCCGGCGGCCTTGGGGGTGGCACTAACTCTCCTTGGGGAGGGGCGGGAGGCGAATCTCTGGCTGTTCGACTGTCTGTTCGTCCCTCCTGCCCTCCTCCGTCCGCCTGCCCCTTAACCCACCCCTTCTCTCCCCTCTTCCCACTAACGGGTCAGGAGACCAAGGAGATCAGCTGGGAGCAGGTAGGGGGCGTGGGGCGGGACGTGGGCGCATGAGCAGGCTGTGCACGCTGCATGCACGCCCCTCTTTCCCCATGCCCCACCCCCACCCTCGCCGGAGCATTCCATCGTCACCACGGGGGGGAGGGGCGCTGCACTGAGCTGGGCTTTGGACGGTCTCATTGTGGCTTGTGGGGGTCGGTGTAAGAGTCCGGACTATACCATTGTCAGCGTGGGGCACGGGCCATTCCATTATCGTGGGTTGCCGGGGTTCCAGGGGCTGTTCCACTGCTGTCACTAGAGGGAGACGTCGAGCAGTCCAGGTTCTCCATGGCTGAGAGGGAGTGGGACCAGTCCAGTGTACTGGGGCAAAAGGGAAGGCATTTTGGGGAGGAGGCAGGTCAGGGTGAGAAGGTAGGGATGAGGAGGAGGAGCTATGCTTGGTTCTCAAGAAGGGGGAGGCTTGAACTCCCCTGACTTAGACAATCTAGGTTAGTCTGGGGTCATTGCTTCCAGTTAGATGGAGGTATTGATTGTTTCCTTATGCTACAGGGAGTGCCGGACTTTGGGCTGATTCAGAATACTATCCTGGGCCAGATATAGCATTAGTATTTTTGGACAGTACCTGGGTGATGGATGGATCCATTATCATTTGTTGTGGGGAGAGCTACGTGGAAAGAACCCATGGTCCTGATTGGGGGAGTAGTGACGTTGGACTAATCCATTGTTCTAAGCTGGGACAATGCTAGACTAGTGCTGCGCACACCGTGCTATTCAGGAACCTGAGGATCTTGTGAGAATGCAGATCCTGATTCGGTAGCCTTGGGGTGGGGTCCGAGATTCGCCAGGTCCAGAAAGCGCAGAGGTGGTGGTGATGCTGCGGGCCCATGGCCCCCACTTTTGAACAGGCAAGGGTCTATTCTGTCATTCCGAAGGAGTAGGAGACAACTGGACTGGTCCATTGTCCTGAGCAGAGATTGGCCATTGTCCTAATATGGGGTGGAAAAAATCAACAACCTTGGGTCGGGGGCTGGGGTGTACCCTTTCATACATACATGGGAAGGGGTCAGAGGGCCTGACCCCTCCCCCACCTGCCCATGGCCCCAGATCCTGGCATATGGTGACATGAACCACGAGTGGGTGGGCAACGACTGGCTGCCCAGCCTGGGGCTGCCCCAATACCGAAGCTACTTCATGGAGTCGCTGGTGGATGCCCGCATGTTAGATCATCTTAACAAGAAGGAGCTCCGGGGTCAACTCAAGATGGTGGACAGCTTCCACAGGTGGGGGCTGCCGGCCAATGGGGACAGTCCAAGGGGGAGCCTCACTCTTAGAGAGCCTTTGGCCAGTGGGACTGCTGAAGGGAAATTCCTTGGACTATCCTTGGCCCTTTAGATTCTCAGAAAATCCTGACTTCTGCGCCCTTTCCACAAATAAGATGGTTCGCTAGGAAAAGTCCACGTCCTCGAAAAGCTTGGCTAGTTGACCCTATACCCTGTCCAGGGTAACCAAGAGGCCCTGCCTGTTGGAAATACCCCACCTCCTGGGAAGGTCAGCGATCCATAAAACTGACCCCGTGGAACAACTCCCCAGCCTTTCCCGGAAGACCGCAGACAACGGGGAGGGAAGAGGTCGCAGCCATTGGCGTTGTGAAGGCTCAACTGTGAACCCACTTTCCCTACTGCTCAGGGTGAGTCTGCATTATGGGATCATGTGCCTAAAACGGCTCAATTACGACCGGAAGGACTTGGAGCGGAGGCGGGAAGAGAGTCAGACCCAGATCCGAGGTGAGTAGGAGTGTAAGGGTCCCCCTGGGAGCCAGGTGGAGGATTTGGGGACGGGTGGGGAGGAGGTCTGATTAGGGGAGAGAGGGCCTGGGGAGGCAGAAGAGGGGCCTTTTGCGAGGGGGTGGAGCCAGCATGGGGGCGTGGCCAGGAAGAGGAAATGGGGGTAACTGGACCAGCTGGCAGCTGACAGTCCCTTCTGTCCCAGACGTGATGGTGTGGTCCAATGAGCGGGTCATGGGTTGGGTGTCCGGACTGGGACTGAAGGAATTCGCCACGAACCTCACGGAGAGCGGGGTGCACGGGGCGCTTCTCGCCCTGGACGAGACCTTCGACTACTCCGACCTGGCCTTGCTACTGCAGATCCCCACACAGAACGCGCAGGTGACTACCGCTTGGGCCATACTGGGCATCCCCACCTCGCAGACGGCAGGCTGTAACCCTTCTTTCACCTCTTGTCCCCAGGCCCGGCAGCTCCTGGAGAAGGAATTCAGCAACCTCATCTCCTTGGGCACAGACAGGCGACTGGACGAGGTAGGCCCAGCGGCCGCTGGGGGGGGAGTGTCCCAGCTCCTTGCGGCACCTCTAGGGGCAGAGCTGAAGGGGTGGGGCTTGACTTTGCGGGCGGGACGCTATTGGAGGCGGGACTACGGCGGGGGCGTGGTTAAAGGCGGGATGAAATCCGAGCGGTCTGGAGTCCAAGGAAGGGGCAGAGTCAGAGCCCGGCTATGGTCCCTCACCGTCTGCCCGGCCCCTATACCTAGGACAGCGCCAAGTCCTTCAGCCGCTCCCCATCCTGGCGGAAGATGTTCCGAGAGAAGGACCTCCGAGGCGTAACCCCCGACTCAGCCGAGATGTTGCCCCCCAACTTTCGTTCGGCCGCAGCAGGGGCCTTGGGATCTCCCGGGCTCCCTCTCCGCAAGCTGCAGCCGGAAGGTGGGCGGCTCCCAAATGCAGCAGCCCCTCCTCCCTTCCCCTATCTTGGGGTGGGAAGAGGACCAAGGCTACATTCCAGAAGCCTCCCTCCGCGTTCTGAAATGGCCTAGTCCTTTCTCCCCCACCCAAGAAAAATGGATTGCTCAGTATGCCACACCTCCGGGTGTGGAACGGATCACTCCCGCACCCCCTTTCCAGAGTGGGGGCTGAATTTGTCCGCTGTCCCCCGGGGCCCCTTAGATGAATCCAAGGCTGCGGGGGGGGGAAGGAGGAAAAGTGGCGTTCGTTGTCACTTCGGGAGGGGAAAACCTGAGAGAGGATGCTTGAGCTTGAGGATCAGAGAAACCCTGCTCTGTGCGTGCATGTGTGCGCGGCTGACACGCGCGCACCAGACTGAACACACCGCCTGCTCTCCTTCTAGGCCAGACTTCGGGGAGTTCCCGGGCAGACGGCGTTTCGGTCCGGACCTATTCCTGCTAGTGTAGGCCTCCAGGTGAGGACTGTACGGGGCGATCTTGGGGGGCTCGGGGCGGCACAATGGATCTTCACTGCTCCACGTACTGCCCCGGCGTCAATGCAGGTGACCTCCCTTGGACGGAAGAATCTTCCAGAGGCTGGGCTGTTCCCCCTCCTGCCCAGAGTATGGTCTCGCCGGGGAGAGCGGGCGGGGGAGCTCGCGCCGCGGACTGGACCATCTGTACAGACGAGCGGGGAGCGCGCGTCCCCGCCTCACAAAAGGACTGGGCCTGGACCAAACCACTCGAACTGGACTGAGAGGGGGAAAGAAGAGGGCGGGAAAAAATCCCGCCCCAAACTTCCGCCTCCCTTTTCTCTACTTTGTAATTTATTGATCAGTTTCCGATGGGAGTTGGGGGCCCTTTCCCCGCGGGAAGGGAGCGGGGCTTCCCTCCCGGGCCGCATGCTAGGAGAGGCTGCCCGCTCCCCTTTCTCCTTCCCAGTCGCGGGGCCCAAGTCTTCCTTCTTCGTCCGAAAGGAGGGGAGGGGGGACTCGCTGCTACAAGCCTCGCCCCACGTGCCACTCATCCCCGCCCCGCCGAGTCAGGTCGCCGGTGCCTGGGGTCAGCTGCGGGCAGAGTCCCCTCTTCCTCCCCAGTGTCTCGTGTCCCCGGGGCCTCTCCGCCCCCCCGTGCTGTGGCCGTGTCCGTGCCCCAGGGGTAGGGGGTGCAGAATTGCGCTCCCGGTTCCCCTCCGGCTCCGGGGTTTGCATGGGAGAATCCTCTTTCCACGATGCCACTGGGCGACGTGGCGTGGGGGGAGGGAGGATGGTGGGGGAGCCCTCGCCCAAGACCCTTGGTCGGCCTCCCTGCCCCAGGCGTCACTCAGTGATCACGGGTAAAGAGAACTGTTTCAAAAAGCTCCCGTGTTGACTGATTTATTTGTCAGGACCTTAGGGAACCAGCCTCCTCAGGAAGCCAGGAGGCCAGACCTCTCCTCCCTCAGACACCCGAGTCCCCAGTCGCCACCCGCCGCGCTCCCTGCGGCCCCGAGAATCCTGACCCCACGCCTGAGTGTGAGGTTTCGGGGAACATGTTTATTCAACTTCAATTCAATAAATATGGCTCGTGGACAGGGGTTGGAGGGCGAGGGAGGTGCGTCTGCGCCGCAGCCGCGCCGCCGCCGGGTCAGGGTTCCGGAGTTTCCAGCATGTCCGCCAGGGCTCTGGCGAGGAGGATGCAGGGGTTAGACCGCCGAAGTGTCCAAAGCTCACCCCAGGCGCTTAGCTAGAGATCGCTAACCTGCCCCTTTTACCGACAGGGAAATGGAGTCCCAGGGTCGTCCAATAACTCAGGGGGGCAGTGCCTCTCTAAATAGGGCCCTTAAACCGCCCCCCTCCACACACTTACTGGTACAGGGAGGAGGAAAAATAGTCGACGTAGCTTCCTGCGGGAGAAAAGAGAAGAGGCTTGAGGCGTACCCCACAGTTGAAATTAGGGGCCACTTAGGCACGGAATCCGGAATCACGACTAACTCCACCCCTTTTTTCTAATTTCTTCCCTCAACTGAATTCCTTCTACTGGGACTCCTTTCAAGGTCCTGCTCCTTTTTCCTTGGTCTGGGTGTTCCCGTTCTCCAGAAGCCCCTGTACTTCCAATTCTACCTGCTTTGGCCCCGCCCATTCGTTTCTAGGGCCACCCTTCAAGCCTCCAATCCTTCCCTACTGGGCCTCAGCCTCAGTCCCAAGCCCTCCCTCGGCCCAGGCCCCGCCCCTCCCCCCCGAAGACTTCCAGCCTTGGCCACGCCTCCGCACCTCGTCCCGCCCCACAACCTCCGGGGCCCGCCTGCGGGGCTTGGCTCCGCCTCCACGGAGTTTGCAACGCTGGGCTCAGCCCACGCTCACCTGGGGTGCAGACCGTTTCGCAGACGAGCGGGCATAGGTAGCAAAACTGGCAGTGCTGGGGGCGGAGATGGGGAGAGACAGAAGTTTAAGATGTGATCGGGGAGAAGCCAGGATGGGGACGGGTGCCTACAGGGGCCTGAAGCAGACATTAAGGTCAGAGGCAGTATGGAGTGTGGAGTTGAGGCGGCATCAGGGATAGGGGGTTGGGTCAGGGATAGAGGCTAGGATTTGGGACTGCGGGTGCCCAGGGGGGACTGTGGGTGCCCAGGGGGGTCTGCGGGCATCCTGGGGCTTCGTGGAACCTGGGTCCGGGGAAAGCTTCACCTGGCACTGGTCGCAGTGCTCTCCCATGTTCTCCTCGTCACAGTGACAATTCTCACATTCAGTACATCTCTGGGGACCAGAGGATCCTGGTTTAGAAAGAAACCCTAACCCCATTTGGAAGCCACCTGCCAGTCCTCCACCCTGCCCCCTGGACAGTTCCCGAACTCCTGAAGTTCATTACCTCTCTTTCCTTCCCCCTTGCTTCCCCTATTGCAGGATGACACCACATCCCTCTGTCACTGTGGGCTACACATGCAGGTGTTTTCTTCATCCCTACCCCCCATTCCCTTACAGCCTGCCACTCCCCAGCACCGTTCCACCCCCCCCCCCACTCTGTCACGGGCCCTCCCCTTTGTCCCAGTATCTGCAGGCACAGCTCAGACCTCACTGTCTTTCCTGGACCAATGCCCCAGCCTCCTCCCAGCTCCTGGCCTCCAGTCTGTCCCCTACATGGCCCCAGAAATGTCTTGGTCTGGCACTGCCCCTGCCCCTCCTTTGCTCAGAGCAGTCCCAAGGCATCTTCTAGCCCAGGGACGAATTCCAGGGACAGCCTGGATTGGACCTGGGCTGGGGACTCACATTGCAGAAAGAGCAGTAGCCACACAGGGACCCCGGCTGATAGTTCCCGTACTCCTGGGCATCCTGCAGACCTGTGCGGACAGGACAGCAGCAGTGAAGCTGGCTGACTGTTTCTCCCTGCCCCCACCTGGCCAGATCACTTACCGGTGTCCTCACCACTTTCCTCCTCACTGGAGCCACCTCCAGCCACCTCCCTTTTGGCCAGTGGGTTAGGGATGATGGTGAAGGGGAGCTTCTCTTCCGCCAGCCCCTCCTCTTCCTCCTCCTCCTCTTCCTCCTCCTGGTGGTCTTGGCTCAGTGGGGCCTGAACCTCAGCCCTCCCTTCCCTCCTCTCCTCCTCTTCTTCCTCCTCCTCCTCCTCCTGACTCAGGCTGAGGCCGTGACCTTCCTCCTCATCTTCTTCATCCTTCTGGTCCAGGCTGCCATGGTGGGTGCGTTCCTCTCCCTGTTCTGAACTTTCATCATCTTCCTCATGGGAGCCGGGGCCCTCTTCCTTCTCTTTCTCCTTAGACTCTCCCTCCCTCAAATGGCTTCTGTCCTTGGTCCCCATGTGTTCTTGGGGCTGGTGGCTAATCTCATCTTTGATGGACCCTCTGCGGCCAGTTCCTTCATCTTGGTGGCCTTGTTGCCTGTGGCTGGGAGCCTGGTGGCCAAGCTTGTCAGAGATGTCCTCCTCTGGGACTTCATGGTGATAGTCCGGGATCGCTGATCTGTATTCATCTGGAAAGTCCTCCTCCTCAGTGCTCTTGTGGCCTTGGGGCTGGGAGCTTGAAACGTGGTGGCTGAACTTGACTGTGATCTCCTCTTCCTCCTCCTCCTCCTCCTCTCCAAGGCCGTGAGTATGTCTGGGAATCTGGTGCCAATGTTCAGTGGACACATCCTCATCCTCATCTTCTTTGTCTCCAAGGCCTCGGTGCCTGTGGGCCTGGTGTCCATATTCAGTGGAGATATCCTCTTCCTCATCTCCTTCTCTGTGGCTTTGGTGTTTGTGACTGGGGATATGATGCTGGTGTTCATCTGAGACGTCTTCATCCTCTTCCCTCCCATGGCTTCGGTGCCCGTGGGTGTGATGCCCGTACTCAGTGGAGACATCATCATCATCATTATCATCATCATCATCTTCTTCTTCTTCTTCTCCATGGCCTTGGTGTCCATGGCTGGGGACCTGCTGGGGATGTTCATCTGAGATGTCTTCATACTCTTCCTTCCTGTGGCTGTGGTGCCTGTGGGTGTCGTGTGCATATTCCGTGGAGAAGACATCATCATCATCGTCATCATCATCACCTTCTTCTTCTTCTTCTTCTTCTTCTTCTTCTTCTTCTTCTTCCTCTTCTTCCTCTTCTTCCTCTTCTTCTTCTTCTTCTTCTCCATGGCCTCGGTGTCCGTGGCTGGGGACATGATGGTGTTCATCTGAGACATCTTTATCCTCTTCCTTCCCATGGCTTAGGTGCCTGGGGGTGTGGTGTCCATACTCAGTGGAGACATCATCATCATCATCATCTTCTTCTTCTTCTTCTCCTCCATGGCCTCGGTGTCTGTGGCTGGGGAGCTGATGGGGATGTTCATTAGAGGCATCCTCATCCTCTTCCTTCCTGTGGCCTCTGTGCCTGTGGGCCGGGTGTCCATACTCCGTGGAGACAACCCCTTCCTCCTCATCTTCATCATCCTCTTCCCCGTGGCCTCCATGCACATGCCTGATGGTATGATGGTGACGCTGGCTGGACACAACTTCGTCCTCATCCTCGTCCTCATGGCTGTGGCTTCTGTGGCTGGGGACGTGGTGCCCACGCTCCGCTGAATCATCCACATCTTCATTCCCGTGGCCTCCATGCCCGTGGGCTTGCTGAACACGCTTTGTGAAGACCTCCTCCTTGGCGACATCCTCGTCTCTGACCTCGTGGTCTTGGTACCTGTGGTCTCGGGCTCGGTGACTGTATTCCCCGGAGATATCTTCGTTCTCTTCTCCGTGGTCTCTGTGGCTCCAGAATTGATACTCGCTCTCTGTGGAAACATCCTCCTCCGCATCTCCATGGCCTCTGTGGCTGTGGATGGGGTGGCCAAACTCACCTGACACGTCCTCTGAGGGCCCCACGACTCCCGCATTGTTGTTCCAGTTGCTGGGGCCTGGCCCAGCCCCTCTCAGCTGCTGGGTCACGGCAGGGGGGAGGAGCAGGCTGGCCACCGCGGCCCAGAGGAGAGAAGTGTGCAGCCATGGCCCACGTTGGCCCATGGGGACAGACAGGCAGCAGAGCTTCGCCCAGGGCTGGCTCCAGCTGCTGCTGTGGCTTCGTGGATGAGTTCGGGGGTCCTTGTCCCTTTTGGGGTCCTTCTTGTTCTTTCCGTCTGTGTCTTTCCTCTGCTGGGTCTCTCTCTGTCTCTGTCTGCCTTCCTCTGGCCCTCACTGCTGGACACCCCTCTGAGGCAGTCTCAGGAGCCCCTTACCCCCCTGTCGGGCCCTCCCTCCCCATGTTCCAGCCAATAGGGTCTCTCTCCTCCCCTCTCTGTGGCTAAATTTATTTTCAGTCCTGAGTTATTCTGGGTCAGTCCCCGCCTGCCCCTCCCCTACTGTTCAGCCTCCTCCCAGCTGGGGAAGGGGTGGGTGAAGGGGTCTCTCCTTGGCCAGGAGTGAGACCCAAGGACTTGACTTTGGATTGCCAACAAGTTCAGGTTTGGCAGCTGCAAAGGTAATGGAGAGAATTTTAGTGGGCCATGTTGGGGGAGCCTGAGGCTTGGGGGGGGGCGAGACCCAAGGGACGCATCTGAGAGGAGAGACCCCTGCCATGGAAGATGGGGGGTTAGGTTGCTGGGGAGTTTCTGGCCAGAATGGGATCCTTTGCTGAGAGAATGGATGACAATATGGAGGCCTTGGACAGGGGTGGAAAGAATTGGCTCCAGCACAGCACCTGTGACCTCCTGTCCCTGGAAGTCAGAGCCAAGGGCAGGAGACCAGGCGGGGCCAGGGCTATAAATACAGCGAGGGGGTGGGGGGGTTCAGGTTACCCAGCTAGGGCGCAGCTGTCCCTGTCAGAGCTGGCAGGAGACAAGTGGCCCTGCCTATCTCTGTGTCATTATCTCCCGGTCCTCACCCTGCCGCTACTGCCCTGGCTTTTTGGGTCCCCATCCCTCCTTATGGGTCTCCTCTCATGTCTGTCTCTTGGTTTCTCTGAGTGTCTTCTCTCCACCCAACTCTTTGTCTCTCTGTCTCTGAGTCAGTGTACCTCCCCCAGTCTCTGTTCAGCCCCTTTCTGATTCTCGGCCCCCAACCTAAGTGTTTCTGCCCCCCACCCATACATTAATTTACCCCTTCCCTGTCTCTGGCATTCCCTCTTGGGTCCCTGTTCCTCTTTCTCTTGTTCCCTGTTCCCCTGGCTCTGAGTCTCTGTCCCTCCTTCTCTGGATCTCTGTCCCCTCTCTCTGGTCTCTGTTCCGCTGTCTCTGTTCTCTGACCCTTCCCTCCCTTCTCTGAATTTCTGTCCCCCTCTGAGCCTGAGGTCCCCCTGTGGGTCTCCGTCTGGCCTGCCCGACCGGCCCTTTGCCCCGCCTCTCGGTCTACACGTCCACAAGACTGCCCGCCCCCCAGATCCTGCACCGCCCCCCAGATCCTGCACCGCCCCGGGCTGAGCTGGGAAGTGGCGGATCCGGTTTGTCCTGGGCGGGTCTGGAGTCAGGGTTGGCCAGACGGAATGTAGGGAGCCGGATAGGTTGCGGCGGCGGCGGCGGCGGCAGCATGGTGGGTCCGGAGAAGGAGCAGGTACAGCGCTGGGCCGGGACTCCCGGGTCTGAACGAACAGGGAGCTGGAGGCTTGGCCTCCTGGTTCCCAGAGAGGAGGGCGCTGGAGACCCAGATTCTGTCGTCAGACAAAGGAGAGGGTGTGTGTGTGGGATCCTGGAGGCTGGGGGGCTCCTGACTCCTGGATCCTTGGAGACAAATATGAGGGAGGCTGGGGGAGTCAAGACTCCTGAGACTGAGGGAGGAGGGTGCTGGGCTCCCGGATTCCTGGGTCCTGGGTAGGGTGCCGGGTGGTGGGTGACTCCGTGTCCTATCGGGCTGATGTTCCTGTCCTTAGGGCTGGATCCCCAAGATCTTCAAGAAGAAGACGTGCACGACATTCATCGCTGACCCCACAGATTCGGGGTGAGGAGCTCGCCCCAGGGACCGACCCCGGAGCATCCCCGGAGCGTCCCGGAGCACTGCGGGCCCGCTGACTCTGCTCGCCTCCCCCCCTCCCATTATGTCATTGCGGACACTCCCAAGGGCGTTCCCCAGTGGCGCTCCCCCTCGGGGAAGGGTTTGGGTCCGTGTGGACGCTTCCAATTTCCCTTGCCTGGTCACAGTCAGTGTTAAAGCCCCAGGGCTTGGTTCTGTTTCTTTCCTTTCCTGTGTCTCCTTGCCTCACTTTCTTTCTCCTTGGGCTGTTCTGTTTCATTCATTCATTCATTCATTCACCCATCCGTCCATCCGAGAAGACTTCGTTCAATGCTCCCAAGGGAGCACAATTATCAGGAGGCCAGGCCCTGCCAGGGTGTAAGTTTCACCTAGGATTGGTGCTGTGTGGCTTTGGGCAAATCATTTCACCTCTCTGGGCCTCATCTGTTACCTGGACAGAAAGGCCGGCCGCCTCCTGAGTGGAGCATGTATTGTCAGGATTTAAACAAGTAAATGCTTGTGATATTTCTGGAACAGCACCGAGCACATGGTTAGCGCTGGAAAATGCCTGCAATCCCCACTGGAAGGTAGCAGTTACTACTATGCACAGGCCCCCTGCTTTGGCTCAGTGTCCAGGGACACTTGCGTGCGTCCCGTGGGGTATTTGCCTCCCTTGAGGAGCTCCCGGCTTTCAGTGGCGGCCCCTCCAGTGGATTCTGGCCTCGCGGTTGTTTTCAAGACAATCTTTGGGGCGCGGGAAACGTCAACATTCCTAACGTCGAGTGTTCTTATGCTGTGAACGTATTAGCGCAGTGTGGCTTGCAATTAGGTATAAATAAACAGGTCTACATTATTGGGGGGGCGGTGAGTGCTCTAAACCTTTTTACGGATGGGGAGCACGGCCAAGGCAGTTTCGGAACCTCTAGGCTGGTGGGAAGAGGACTGGAAGGCACGGAGATCGGAACTCTGCAAGACTGCTGGGGAGGGGATCCGGCATCGCTGGTGGCTTATGGGAGAGGCCGTGAGGTGGCATTTGCAAGATGAGCTGGAGTTTGACAGTTGAAGGCAGTATGGAGGAGAAGAGGGGGGATTCAAAGTGGTTCCTGGTGTTGGAACAGCATGTGCGGTGTGGTTGGAGAAAGGAGCGAAGTTCAAGGTGCAGGAGGGCTCTGTGGCGCAGGGTGGGGCCAGACCTCTCTGGGCCTCACCTGCAGGGGCGGCAGGACCTTGGCCTGGGTGTGCTGGGGCCCCGTGTGGGAGGGGCAGGGCCTGCTCTGGGTGTGGAAAGACCCTCTGGGAGTTGTGTGAGGTTGAATAGGAGTTCGGGAAGCCCCGGAAGGGGGTGGGCTCGGGTCTGGGTGGGACACCAAGAAGCCTGAGCCAGACGACAGCTGTGGGGACACACGGCGGGGACAGGGATGGGAGCTTGGGGACTGATGGATTTCAGGAGTAAGAGGAGAGAAGGGGGAGGATGGCTCCTGGACCTCTGGTCTGGGACCTGGGAGACCGTGGCATTGTCCCTGAGATGGGAAGGCCAGGAGGAGGAGGGGGTGTGCTGGTAATTCTAGGACTTCTTTTCTTTTTTTTTTTTTTTCATGGAAGAGCAGTTTTTTTGAGAGAGAAAGAGTGGGGAAGGGGCAGAGAGAGGGGGGGACAGAGAATCCCAAGTAGGCTCGGAGCCTGACGCGGGGCTCAAACGCCACGAATTGTGTGATCATGAGCAGAGCCAAAATCAAGAGTCGCCGCTTAACCACCTGAGTCACCCAGAGGCCCTGCACGGAAGAGTTTTTTTTTTTAAATTGTTTTATTTATTTATTTTATTTGTTTTTTTAAATGTTTTATTTATTTCTAGGAGAGAGAGAGAGAGCGCGAGCAGGGGAGGGTCAGAGAGAGAGGGAGTCACAGACTGAAACAGGCTCCAGGCTCCGAGCTGGCAGTCAGCACAGAGCCCGACGCGGGGCTCGAACCCACGAACCTCGAGATCATGACCTAAGCGAAAGTCGGACGCTTAAACGACTAAGCCACCCAGGCGCCCCTGTTTTATTTATTTCTGAGAGAGAGAACAGCGGGAGCAGGGGAGGGTCAGAGAGAGAGGGAGATACAGAATCTGAAGCAGGCTCCAGGCTCTGAGCTGTCAGCACAGAGCCCAATGCGGGGCTCGAACCCACGAACGGTGAGATCATGACCTGAGCCGAAGTCGGACGTTTAACCGACTGAGCCACCCAGGCGCCCCACGGAAGAGTATTTTTAAAAACCTGTGGGGCACCTCATGTTTCTTTCCCTTACATTCCTTTCTTGGCCCCAGGGGGCATTAAGTGTGAGACCCAAGTTGGGAAGCCTTGTGGTCCGAGGGCTCTGGGAGGCACAGAGAGAGAGAGAGAGAGAGAGAGAGAGAGAAAGCGGCTGATACGGGACAAGGTAGCCAGGAGCGCAGGGGTGCCCTGCCAAGGAAAGGAAAAGAGTTTTTTTAGAATCAGAGCCTTTTATTGGTGACCAATGCTATTTTGTGAGAGTCACCTGAGACCTGAATAGGGGCCATTGTATTTGGGGACGCTTGCTAATTGCTGATCTTTTGGGGAACAATTTCAGCTCTGGTGACCACACAGAGGAGCAAAGATAGGAGGTGAGGAGTACAGGGGGGAGTCCGCCAGTTCCACCCTCCAGAACTTTCTGCAATGGGGGAAGTGTTCCATATCCGTGTCCAATATGGCACCACTGGCGACATGTGGCTCTTGAGCACTTGAAATGTGGCCAGAGCGACCTAGGAACTGAATTTTTAATTGTACTTAATTTTAATTTATTTAAATGTAAAGAGCCACCAGTCAGTTAAGTGTCGGACTGTTGACGTCGGCTCAGGGCATGATGTCACAGCTCCTGAGTTCAAGCCCAATGTCGGGCTCTGTGCTGACAGCACAGGTCCTGCTTGGGATTCTCTGTCTCCCTCTCTATCTGCCCCTTCCCCACTTGTGCACGCACGTTCTCTCTCAAAATAAATAAACTTTTTTTTTTTTTTAATTTATTTCTAGGAGACAGAGAGAGCGTGAGCAGGGGAGGGTAGAGAGAGAGGGGGTCACAGACTGAAA